GGCCCAATAAAGTTGAATTATCATGCATCGACAACTTTTTTGTGAACACTGAAAACTTTACCAATAACCAAGTGGTGATCACAGCACTAAGTGATCACCATGGACAAAAAATATCTTTAATTAAATCACAGATAAAATCAAATGATTCTCAAAAAACCTTTACAGGAAGAAGTTTCACAAAGGGAAAATTAAAACAGCTTAGGGTAGCAATAGGAGATATTTCATGGCAGGATGTAATGGAGGAAAATAACGCAGAAAAGGCATACGCCCTACTACACATCAGACTTGTCCAGGTCCTGAATGTGATGTTTCCGATGAGAGCAAGAAAGATAAGGCCATCAAACAAGGATAATTGGATAACAAAAGGTATAAGAATTTCATCAAAAAATAAAAGAAAAATATATGAACTCTATTTGAAAGGAAAAAAAAGCAAACAGTATTACAAAAAATATTCAAATATCTTGAAGAAAATAACAGGAATGGCAAAAACTTTAAACAATAAAAAAATTATAAAAAGGGGAGATAATAAAACAAAAGCAACTTGGACTGTCATAAACATCAGAATAACTAAAAAAATGAATAAAAAAAGATCCCTGTTTGATAACTTAGATTACAACGATAAAAAACAGCTATTGAACAAAATTAACGATTTTTTCCTAACAAAATGCACAGACATAAATGACAACAAAGAACTCGCTTGTCAAAAAACAATTCGTTGCAAAGAAAGTATAGTCCTTGGGGAAGTAGCTCCACAGGAGATCACACAAATAATAAAAAATCTTAAAAATAAAAAGTCAAGCGGTTATGATGAGATACCCATATGCTACCTAAAAGAAACGGCGGATCTACTGGCACAGCCACTTTCCCACACAATTAACTTATCACTACAACAAGGTATATTTCCATCGCTACTAAAAATCACAATAGTAAAACCAATCTTTTAAAAGGGTGAAAGGAATGAAATTAAAAACTATAGACCAATATCACTATTATCAAATATTAGCAAAATTTATGAAAAAGTCATACACAGCAGGCTAGTAGGCTTCATAGAAAATCAAAATATATTATCCAACAGACAGAATGGCTTCAGAAGGGGAAAATCAACTGTCAGGACCATATATCAAGCACTAGATAAAATCATAGAGTCACTAAACAAAAAAAAATCAAACAACAGCAGTATGTATTGACCTTTCTGCAGCATTTGACTGTGTGGATCATGAAACACTCTTAAAAAAGTTAGAATTGTGTGGGATAAAGGGAATTGCTTGGGGATTGATGAGATCGTACCTAACTGAAAGACCTCAAAGCATTGAAGAAACACTAGGAGGGGGCGAAAAATTAAAATCAGATTTTGATTACATTAAAAGAGAGATTCCGCAGGGGTCGATACTGGCTCCACTCCTTTACATTGTATATACAAATGAGGTAGAAAACATAATTAACAACGAAGTTTATGCATTTGCAGATGACAAAAATGTAATAATTAGTAAAAAAAATGAAACACAGATGGTAACAGAAATCAAAGGAACATTAGAAAATCTGGAAACTTGGCTTGGATCAAACAACCTAAAAATGGACATTCAAAAAACACAAATTATAAATTTCAAACCAAAAAACAGAGAGTTGCTACGTATACAATGTGGTGGGGAGATAATGGAGTCAGTGAAAAATGTGAGATTCCTGGGAGTAACGCTGGACAGCAATCTAGACTCGAGAGATCACGTTCAGGAAGTGGCGAAGTCTTTGAGAAGATATTCGTATGCTTTAAGGAGGCTGAGAGATGAGGTAGATTTAGAAGCTTCAGTCTCGGCCTTCCATGCCTACATTCAATCAAAAATTAGATACGGTATCATATTCTGGAGAAACTCAGTAGAAACTCCAAGCATCCTAAAAATACAGAAAAAATGCATAAGAATTATAAAAAAATTAAAAAACAATGACAGCTGTAAACAACATTTCATAAACTTAAAAATACATACAGTATACAATCTGTTCATTTTAGAGAGTATAAACTTTGTCTCAAAGAACACTGATATATTTGAAAAACACAAAAATATTCATTCTTATGAAACCAGACAAAAAAACTACTTAAAAACTGAAAAAGCTAATTTTAGCTATGGACAAAAAAACACAACACACATGACTCTGAGAATATGGGACTTTTTACCAAATAAAATACGGCAGCTTCCTCCAAATCAAATAGGGCCCAAAATTAAAAATTTTCCATAAAACGAAGCTTACTATAGTCTTAAAGAATATTTTGAGGAAGATCTTAGTCAAATGAAATAAACGATTGAAACTGTGATAGACTGATTTTGTGACTGTGCCTATAAAAATTATTTTAACTATAATTGTTGTATGAGTATTATTGTGAAAGTCTGTTTTTAAATGTCTGACGTGCAATATTTTAATTTTAATGGAAAATCTAATCAACGATAACTTCTACTAGAGAGTAACTATTTAAACGTCTTGTATCAATGTTAATTTATATTTATACTATAAAATGAATTAATTTTATTTTATTATATTGTATTGTATTATATTATATTGACGAGTTCTACACCAAAAATGGTATACAAAATATTGTGAAGAACATAAAATGAATAAACTAAACTTACTATGGAGGATGAGGACGAGTGTATCATAGATGATATTATAAAATGGAATAATGTTGAAAAAAAAAGTATGATACGGACGCGCTGATTCCTGGATATAAATTTTACAGGAAGGATAGGGCTGTGGGCAGAGGCGATGGCATTGGGATTTATGTAAAAACAATCTTTCAGTGTGAGTATGTAGTATGTGCAATTTTCTACTTCACCAGTTGTTGTGGGTTTTGAATATCATTGGGTTAAGGTGAAGCTAGCTAACAGAACGTCAATAGCTGTAGGTGTCATCATGTTTGTATCGCACTGGAAATAATATTTTCGAATGTATCAATGGTTGGATTCTTTATTCCTTGAAATTTTGCCCGTGGATAAATATATCATAGCTTTTGGTGACTTAAACATAAAATATGATGAATATTATAAATTCGGTTACTCAATTGTTTAATAATTACAGATTTTATCAGGTGATAGAGGAGCCAACTAGATTTGCTAAACAATCAGCTACCTTGCTGGATCGTATTTTTGTGAATACCAGGGATGTTGTTGTAGGGAACGGTACAATTGATGCAAGCGATACCTATAAGCGACCATATGTTAACATTCTGTAATATTAAAATTCCATTGTACACAAAGGCTGCCAAACTAGCGACTTTTAGGGATTTTAGGAGTTTGAATGAACAGCTTTTTTTTCTGATTTAGGTACCGATTATACAATGGGATAACCATTACTCTGTATTATTATTGTGATATAGAAGATAAAATCCACTATACATGAGGACCTAATTTGAATTACATTCACCAGTTAGAACAGTAAGGGTAAATAAACCACCTGCTCCTTGGTTAACAGTGGCAATTAGGCATTTTATGAGGGAGAGAGAAAGGGCTAAAGTTAGGGCAAATGAAAGCAATACAGCGGATAATCGCAAGTATTATAGGAATCTTAGGTCCAGCTGATGTATCTAAGTCTATACGGAGCATTAAGTTTAATGCAGCAGGGGTTGATGGTCTGACTCTAACAATGATTGGGTTGTGTTTGCCCACTATTTTAAACCATATCACCCCTATTATAGTAAATAGTTCCCTCGAAAGGGTATATTTTCCACAATGGTGGAAAACTTCAATTGTCGTTCCAGTACCCAAGACTAAAAATCCTGCTGAGGTTGGAGATTTGCGACCGGTTAGCTTTCTCCCTATGTCTTTTCCAAGATCTTGGAGAGAGTGGTGAGCTCGCAGATCCTGGATTATCTGAGGAAAAACAGTATCATCCCCAATGATCAATCTAGCTTTATAAACGGTCGTAGAACAACATCTGCGTTGCTTAATATTATTGATTAGGTACATTGTTCGGGCGATGGATGAAAAGCTAGCAGCCAAGTTGGGCCCTCTTCTATTTGTGATTTATATCTCTGATATCTCCACTGTTGTTTCAAATGCTCATTTGCAGTGCTATGCTGACGATACACAACTTTCTACAATTCTCTACGGAACATAATTTAAAAATTAACCCTGAAAAAACAAAACTTCTTTCATTTTGCTCAAATAATCAAAGGGTTTCACTCACTGACCATTTAAAAAATTATTTAAATCGATGATAATATACTTCAATTTTCTGACTGTGCCAGAAACTTGGGTCTGCACTTGGATGTTAGATTGAAATTTGAAAAACATGTACAGACCCTATTATAGAAGGGCTTCTGTACGCAAATAAATACATAATCAATTTTGAGACGAGGAAAACACTTACAAGTAACTTAAACACTTACAAGTAACTTGTAGTGAGAGCCTTGTCATGTCAATTTATAACTACATATTGTTACATTGTTTATTATCCATTCTTGGACAATATCATTAGGAAAAGAATACAGTTTGTACAAAACACATGCTGTAGGTTTATTTTTAATTTAAGAAAATATGACTCTGTATCACATAAAATGAGGCAAATAGGTTGGCTTAATTGTAATGATCTGTACAGAATGAATTGTTTGCTGGATAGTGGAGAACCTGTACACTTGTTCATAAAGATTGAATTTAGGGCTAATGCACATTCGTGCTGGTCTTTTATCAATACCTAAGCATAAAAGCTCATTATTTCAAAAATGTTTTTCATACTGTATTGCCAAGATAATTAATACACTTAGGTAACTGTTCCTATCAGAGATGTTAGTGACAATAAATTTAGAATGGATTATAGGAGATATCTTTTACATAATTTTAAACTATTGTTAAATCTTTTATGGATGAAAAATACTAATGTATAGTTTGTGAGCACGGAATGGGACGCAGTTGGTTAAGTGGAACAATGGCCACAGCCCACAGGTTAAACTTCGCCACGTACGTTTCCTGGTGTGTATATTAACATTATATTTTGAATTTTGTACACTATATAATGTATGCATTTAATAAAGACGTTTATTATTATTATTATTATTAAATACAGCCACAAAATTACAAAATTATTCATTGAAAAGGACGTTTTGTCGTCCTTTTTATTAATCATTTGAATTCTGGACACTTTCGAGATTTTAGATTTGAATTTTCTCCCTTTCTATTGAACCAGTTACGAATCCTCTTCTTCATATTGAACAACAGTAGCATCCTTCAAAACGTTCTCACCAACTTTAAATGGAATCTTCGAAATTGTGGCATCCCTCGTAGCTTTAACTACATGCTCCATTTTCATAGCAATTAAAACGAATAGCGAATCTCCTTTCTTAACTTTATCACCGATATTAACGAGGATTTTGTCTACAATTCCAGGCATAGGTGCCACAGCTTTATTTAAACTTGTTGTAGATAAGTCGTTTTCTTCATCTAGGTTATAACTGGGCTTAGGCAGAGAAAATTGAATTTTACCTTTCTGAAAATAAAATTTTATAAATATGGACTAATGGGTAAAATGATTAATAATTCTTACTTCTTCAAATAACACTATACTTTCATTATTCTTGAATACATTAACTTTTGTATTGTGATTTTCTATGGTGCAATTTAACAAATTTCCTTCTTCAGTTACTTCAAAATTTGCCTCAGCTTTAGCCCAAGTGCTTCCACTGTCACAAGACACTTCATATGAGTTTTTCTTTGAGTGTTCCTGTTTAACATTAATCACAAACTCTTTATCTCTAAAATTAATTTTAACATTCCTCGTCTTCGCATGATTCACTCTAAAATTGGATTCGACTATGTAGGGATTGAAACTATCCTGTATTAAATTTGCTCTATTTTTTTCTAATTTTTCCTCCCATAACATTAACGTTAAAGAAGCTTGGATGAGATTTTCTTTTGTGGGAGTATCATCTCTAAATAACGTTTCATAGTGGTCTTTAATAAAATTGGTGTGAACGTTGCCAGCTTGGAATTCTGGATGGTTCGCCAGATCTAAGAGAAAGTTTACGTTTGTTTCTAAGCCAGCGATCTAAAAAAAATAGGGTTTTTAAAAATTAATTAATTTTAGTTATAGATCTCTTTCATATGCACTCTGGCCATCCGATAACCCAGTCTCAACTTGAAACTTTTGGCCATTTATCTTATCATCATTGTCTTTTACTGTTTGTGCACGAGATGACATTCAAGACCAAAAAGTCTTATGAAATTGCCAGAGGGGGACTAATGTTAATGTACACCCAAGACTCAATTTGAATTTGACATTTATTTATCCCCGTTACTGCTTGCCAAAAACAAAAATAACATTTCCTAATGACAATAAAAGAGACATAAAGTAAAATTCTTACATTATACTGTATCAATTTCGAGTTCAACTTGGTCAAAGCCTCTTGTCTATCTTGACCCCAAACAACTAATTTCGCTATCATAGGGTCATAATGTACTGAGACTTCGTCTCCTTGTCGCACGCCTGTTTCTACTCGCACGTCACTGGAAATCACAGGCGTTCTTAGGTACTCTAGTGGTCCTGCACCTGGCAAGAAACCACCTCTTGGATCTTCCGCGTATATACGCGCTTCAAACGAGTGACCTTTGAGGGAAATTTTTTCTTGGGATAAGGGTAGTTTTTCACCTGCTGCTACTTTTATTTGCCATTCAACCAAATCGGTACCTGAAAATCGGAATTCGTCAAACATTGGTAGAAAAAAAATTAAAATTTACCTGTGATCATTTCAGTTATAGGATGTTCAACCTGCAAGCGAGTATTCATTTCCATAAAATGAAAGTTGAGGGTTTTTCTATCCAGGATGAATTCGACAGTGCCTGCACCAACGTATCCGACAGCTTTTGCGGCCCTTACTGCGGCAGTACCTAGTTCTCTTCTTAAATCCCATGACAAACCTGGCTATAGAAACATGATTTTTTAAAAATGATTATAAATAATTTAATAAATAACCAAACTTTTATAAAACAAGTTGGCAACACATAACACGGTCAATTTCTGTGTTATATTTATAGTATGAAGATCTGAGATTTGTATTTTCAATGTTGATCAATTTGCTTAGCCTAGATGTTTAAAAACGAAAAAAGCAAACGAGCAACACCAATACACTAAAGGAGGAAATTTTCCAAAAGCGGCCGATCCAGAAACAGAACCATAATTGATAATAGAACTACATAAATATACCGATCGGCAAGAGCTACCATATATATCCATCGCCAATCCACCTTTAAGGTTCCTTATAGAGACCGGCGCAACCGAAATCATTTATCAATCCAGACATAGCCTTTAAATACTTGAAAGATTGCATCCACCATGAGCCATTCATCGTTACTTCCATTTTTCAAAATCATTCTCATTCTCAGGACTATGGTGCTCACATTCCCATGTTTCCGGAATTCAACTCAAATGAGAACGCAACATTTTTCCTCTTCAAGTTCCACCAAACATTTGGACGCGATAACCCCAAGCTACTCCATGCCAAATTGGACCTGTCAGAGTCGTTACTTATCATAAAAAAACGCCATTCTCCCAATTGAATACTACGACACGATCAATACCAATACCTAATTCAATTTCATCCAACTGGCGCCTAACACCGTTTTCCGAGTACGGCTTCCAGTAAAAGAAACCCAGGGTACGATCCTTCTACCAAAACCAAAACTCCAGGGCGCACAAATTAACGGAACACTCACATCTGCTTGTAATCAACTCGCTTGGACTGAAATTGTCGAGACAACCGATGAAACACTTCCGATAGTTCGTCATTAGCACCCTGTTCGACCTTTATCAGTTTCATATCTACACCACGGATTTAATTTGCCAGGAATCTCCATCACCGCATGGCAAGACTCCTGATCAGAACTAATCACCTAAATTCAGAGGAAGAAAAAGCAATGCAAAATTTATATAGGAAGTATGCAGACATTTTTCATTATCAAGACATGTCCATGACCTTTACAAACCAGAATAAACATCATATTAAAACAAAAAATTATATTCCAGTGTGCACCAAGTCATATAGATATCCACATATCCATAAAAAGGAAGTGACAAACTAGATATCTTAAATGTTGAATCAAGGAATTATCAGACCAAGCCAGTCACCTTGGTCTTTCCCGATATCGATAGTTCCAAAAAAACCAGATACCCCTGGAAAAATAAAATGACAGATAGTAGAGTGGACCATAGGAAAGTAAACGAGGAAACTATCGACGATAAATATCCAATTCCAAACATAACAGACATTTTGGACAAACTTGATAGATGCCAATACTTCACGACCTTGGATCTGACAAGTGAATTCCACCAAATCGAAATGGCTAAGGAAGATATATGTAAAAATGATTTCAATGTCGAAAGTAGCCATTACGAGTATGTCCGGATGCCGTTTGGACTAAAAAACGCTCCAGCTACGTTCCACAGGGTAATGGATAACGTTTTGAAAGGCCTCCAAGGAGAAAATTGCTTAGTGTACATAGACGATATCATTGTGTTCAGCACATCACTTCAAGAACATCTGGTTTATCTTTCAAAAATATTCCAACACTCTCCTTAAAAAAGGAAGTTGCTTTTCTTGGACATATCGTTACACCAGAAGGAATAAGAACAAATCCAGCTAAAATTGAAGCCATACTTGACTATCCAATACCGCCAACCACGAAGGAAATCCGAGGATTTCTAGGCCTCCTCGGATATTACAGAGTGTTAATCAAGGACTAGAATAACTGAACCTCTAACTTCCTGCCTCAAAAAGGACGCTAAAATAGAACTAACACCAGAATTTTTGAACTTCATTAGAACTTGTAAAAATTTACTGACAAATATGACAGCTATATTATACCAGGGATCAATCGGCAGCGATAAGCCCATTGCATACGTCTCTGGGACACTCAACGGAACCGAGTTGAAACATTCCACCATTGAGGTGGGCCACCAAGTAATTCACAGCTTACTATGGTTTGGGAGAAAGTTCAAGATACTTTCAGATCACGCCGTCCTCTCCAATGGTTTTTTTTCCATCATAAAGGACAATAATTCCAAAATAGTTAGATAGCCTTTAAAACTGGAAGAGTTTGATTATGAGATAATCTAAAAGAAAGGAAAATCAAATACCAATGCAGATGCTCTGTCCAGAGTCGAAATCCATACCAAGGAAATAGCTTAAACACCACAAGACGAAGATAATGCACCTTTGTACAACAATGCAGAATCAATCCTCGACAAAGACGAAATTCTAGAGAAACACGCTTCGCAAGCGAAGATACAGAAGGGTCATCAGTGAAATGTGAAATCATTGATAATCCAGAACCGTCACAATCCAACCCGGAAGAAGATAACGAAACTAGACACACTGCTCAGGAAGAACCTGTACTCGGCATTCCAATCAGCGAAAGTACCCCAACTACTACAATAACCAAATTGTGCTCAAGTCTGTTAATTATAATCCGGCAAAGCCGATAATAGAAGTAGCCTTTCCTAACAAATCGAGGCTACATGTCCAAGTAAGCAAGAATAACTTAGAAGGAAGCTTTGTAAAGAAAAAATAGACCCCAAAAAGAAGTATGCAATATTCTTTAAGGACGAAGATCTTAACGTTCCTCTATGCAACATTCTTAAAAAACTTTAAAAAATTCTGCATTTGACTTTATCAAATGCAAATTTCTCCTAGAAGACGTCAATAGCAGAGAAAGACAAAGTTAAATAATTCAAGCCTATTATCAACAGAAAACAAAACATCTAGGAATTAACGAAACCGAAGCGCAAATCCGAGGGAAATATTACTGGCCTAACCTCAAACGAGATGTTGAAAATATCATAAATGTTTGTGGCCAGTCTAACAATTATGATAAAAATCCAGCCAAACCTAAATTCATGAATAGTCCAACACCGACTAGACCTTTGGAAATTATTCATCTAGATAATTTTCAAGCCGGAGGGCAAATATTTTTAACAATAATTATTGATTCCTCCTCAAAATATGGAAAAGCCTATACCCCATAGAGGGATCAAATTCAGTGAATGTTCTTAATGCCCTCCTAATCTTGATAACTCATTATGGAATAGTACACATACCTAATAGTCACCGATAAATGGAACAAAATTTAGGAATTGACTTATACAGAAATTTGTAGATACACATAAGATATCCATCCATTATACTACCCCTGATAACCCACAATCAAACGGGATGATAGAAAGATTCCACTCCACCATTATCGAACACCTGAGGATACTTCGAGAAAATAAAAAATTCTTTCGTTGAAGAACAAATGCCCTATATACTTCTCGGATACAATAATAGGGAACTTGCACATTAAATTAAATATGGAATAAATAATAAAACACAATAACAATCATCCTAATAAATGATGCAATTAGGAAAAAAATATAACATCTTATCTCTGGTGTCCAAAATCTTCAATTGAGAATACCAAATAATTCGAAATTAATGACGCGATCAAAAACGTGTTTCTATGGGTCGTGACGTCACAAGGCAGTATTAAACGGGTCGCGCCGCTGCCACGTCATGTGCTGCTGGTGTCGCCAATGTCAAATCTATCAAACACTGCATACATAACAACATAACCATAATCTTAATCTACCTGCTCGAAGTTCGAAGTGCTCGTCAATATCATCGGAATTTTGTTGCCGAGTGACGTCACACTAATCGGTCGTTTCAAATGGCGATGTTTCGAGCGTAACTTCAAATATTTATCAAAAATTAACGGCTGATTTTTAATGCTTGATATTTGGCATGACTATGTCTTTAGTGTAGTAGAACCACTGATCTCAAAAATAAATGGATAAACAATCGTTACGGCTCGATTGGCTAAAATTGTGCAAAAATTTGGGGTCAATATTCTACGAACAGTTGTGCAACGGAACAGCCTAACGCCTGCGCAGTGTCTTATCTTTCGAACAACTGTTCTCAATTTTGAAATTCCTTCGTTTTCATTGGCCAGATTTTGTGCACGCACAGTTCATGTATCTACTGCGCACGCTCACAGCTGTCCCAGTCAGTTGTTTTTGTTTATATTATGACCTCGTAAATTAGCAGCATTAGAAGCGTTCTTTGTTTATACATTTATTTTTGAGATCAGTGAGTAGAACACATTTTTGAAATAAAAAAAAATGTGCAAGTTTCCTATTCTATCTATTCAATGAGAAACATGCGACCAATATTGACTGGTCACCTGAATGCGCAGGATCCGTTTGACGTTGACATCAGGAAATAGGACATTATACACCTAGGGACTAAAAGGGAGAGGGATTTAAAAAAAACTCTCGAGTCCTGAGGTGTATACACTATTTTGTGTACTTTGGAGGGATGAAAAGTACCCTTTTATTCCCTGCTTCATTTAATCCCTGGGAAATAAAGTAAAAATTTAATCCCTTGGGAAATGAAGTGAAATTTAATTCCGGGGATTAAAAGACCCACTTTACTCCCTTAAAACAGGGATTAAAAGGGTACTTAATCCCTAAAGTGCATAAACACATAAATAATTATACCCAGCAACACCGGGAAAAAACGAGGACTATCTACAGGAAATTGAATTAAAAGCTACATGAATCCAAAGAAAAGTACATAGGAGATAGAAACATAACCCGGCAAACCTCCCTCATTTATAAACCTAGCATGAAGATCTACACCAGGAAAACTGTAAAGCGGAATAAACTACTTCCAAGATTTTCTCCCCACAGTTAACACTGACAATATTGTGACCATTGACACTCAAGACATGACAATACATGAAAAGATAAATAAAAATCTCCCAGGAAATAACTCTAGAAATTCCTTACAGATGTTCTTTAGCCGTCGCTCAGAAACTCCTGATCCAGGACTTGAACGACAACCCAGGAATTATACTTCCCCTCAAGCTGGGACGAGCAAGGATCCAAAATAATAACCACGACTTGATTCACTTTTTTGACCTCTTCCCAGTAATTAAGGAGCTTTAGTCTCTGGAAGAATACGAATCAGTAATAACAGCAATAGAAAATGGACTGAGTCACCGATATATCAAAAGCCTGCGAAATTTCGATCAAAGTTTACAATTTCTGTTAAAAGCCGCCAAAGAAAAACTTCGTACTATCATACCTGTCCACAGATCCAGAAGAGGAATTTTCAATGGTCTCGGCAGTATTATTAAAACCATATCTGGAAACCTGGATCACGAAGACGCCCAAAGGTACGACGTCACAATCGCAACATTGAAACATCATAGCCAAGAGAATATCGTCTCCCAAGTGAATCAGGGGATGAGTCTTAACACCAAAATAATGGAAAACTTCAACCACACGAAGGGAGATCGTGATCATAACTCATAACGAAGAAACCATAGAAAAAGAAGCGAACAAAATTAACTCCGAAATAAATAAATTCATGCTCGACTCTACCCATTTCTACAAGCTAGAAACATCCTAGATAAGCTGAACTTAGCCCTCCAAGTCATCTTGCAAATCCTCAACGACCTCGAGGTAGCTATAACATTTGCAAAAACAAGCACTCTTCATAACTCTCCTATCAAACCTTACGAACTGAAATGCGTTGAACAAGAACACTACTCCGAAATCCAGCTTCCTTATATCTACGAAGAAAATATACCTTAGTGCTATAATATAATTAGCATAGATGGATACTTGTCAAACTACACCATGGTCTTCATCCTGCATTTCCCCATTCTGTCACCAGAAATTTTCACATATGTCCATCTCTTCTCAATACCCACTGCGAATCATACCACCATAATTCCTCCCGCTCCCTATTTGGCCCTGAGCGAAAATTTATTCCAATACACGGAAGTTCCTTGCCGTAAAATTGATTCCGAATACCTATGTCACGAAGGATTCTTACAAGAAATTATAAGCCAAATACTTCAACCACTAATGCTCATTATATAACCATAGTTCCTAGGCCATCTAAAGTATCAACTCGTTGCCCAACAACCAAGACAATAACTCTCAGAGAAGTATTCCTAATTAGTTTACTAACAGGATGCGAATGCAGAACTTCCAGTGAAAACTTCTTGAATGAGAAAACTGTTATCCAAGAAGAACCAAGAACCATTAACACTTTCCAGAATACACACAAGAAACGATGATTGGCAACCCCAAGTTAATAAGCCTCTGAAACTCTCCCGTGTACCCTTGGATGAACTTCACAAATTAATAAGGGCAGAAGAATACCTCGAACCAATCGAAACCGAAATGCAATCAACAAGTAACTCTCACTTATAGGATAGGATAACACCTTTGTATATTTTAGGCACGGCAGAATTTACTGTTAGGGATGAATGTTGTGCGTACCTATCCTACTTTTTTTTCTAAAATTATTATATTTGGGCATTTTTTAGATAAACGAATTTCTTCTTGGTTCATTTCGTAATTAGGTAAAATTATACGTGTCAAGTATTTGAGTAGTGGTTAGTCTGTGGAACTTCCCCTTAAACTTATAAAAGTCTTATGAAATAACTCGCTCAGAGCTCCGCTACTCGCTCTTTATACGAAAAAGCGTTATAAGTATAAGCATTATAATTTACTTTGGGAAAACACTCAGGATGCCAAAATTACTGCTCTTCCTCAAGTCCTAGACAAAAATACTAATTTCTTACCGCTGGTGCTTCTTCAATGATTTTCTGATGCCTCCTCTGAACCGAACAATCTCTCTCAAATAAATAAACTGCGTCACCATGTGTGTCGGCAAACACTTGCACTTCAACGTGACGCGGTTCTTCGACGAACTTTTCCAGTAGCACCACCGAATCGGCGAATGCTTTTTGAGATTCCGTGCGAGCCGATTCGAGAGCCTCCTCGAAATCTGCTTCTTTGAGGGCTACACGCATACCTTTACCTCCCCCGCCTCGAACTGCTTTGATCATAACAGGAAATCCGATTCTTTCAGCTTCCTTTTTGAGGGTTGCGTTACTCTGGTCGGTACCGTGATAACCTTCGATGATTGGTACTCCCGCTTTTGACATAATATGTTTGGAGGTACTAGATTTTTTTTTGTTATTGGATTTGTTTAATTATTATTATATGAATTACTTGCCTTTTTATTCCCATGTCACGGATAGCAGAGGCTGGCGGTCCAATAAAAATAACATTTTCTTTTTCGCAACTTTCAGCAAATTCGACATTTTCCGATAGGAATCCATAACCTGGATGAATGGCTTGGCAGCCTGATCTTTTGGCTACCTCCAAGAGCGTGTCACCTTTCAGGTAACTTTGGGAAGCTGCTGGAGGGCCAATTTCGTATGCTTCATCTGCCTGAAACAATATTATTTGATAACAACGGCATCGAGTGTATACTTGCACAAAACAATTATTACCCTTGCGACATGCAATGAATTCCTATCAGCTTCACTGTAAACACCTACACTTCGAATTCCTAATTTTTTGGCTGTTCGCATTATTCTACACGCTATTTCTCCTCGATTTGCTATGAGGATTTTGTCGATTTGCCTTACTGTACTTTTCCATCTTATTAAAACTAATTGTTGTCGTATTGCTCTGAAAATACGAGTTGAATTCAAGGTTTGGAACTAATATACATGTACTTTTACTCACGATTTCGACAAAATATACTTTTGGAAAAACATTCTCACTTTTATATAAATCTAAATATTCTATTTAAAATCGCATATAACCACACCACACCATACAATTGTTTACTAGACGCACCGCACATTGGGTGGCTATTGTGCTATTGAAATATGAATAAAAGATAACAAAACGATGATAATTGTTTGTTGATAAAAGATTAAAGTTCATTTTTTTATAGCCTATGGATAAAATGAAGCAAGATTTAAATTCTTGCACAATCTAATTTTAGTGATCCGGGGGATGCAGCGCGAAAATGTGATATTTAATATATGTCGATTGTATTCAATTGGCGGTTAAAAGAAAATACTTCTGAATATCAATCCACATTATTGTATCATTCAGGATTACGTAAAACTGAAACGTAAAAATTTATGTCCACTATGCTCCAAGTTTTGGGCATCATACCAAAACTTAATTTGTATAGTCAGGACATCTTTTACAAATCAATTTGTTAAACAGATCCAAACTGTGCTCGTCTTTCATTCACTCCTACCCATTTAATTTCGCATAACCTATTGGCCCTCTCACGGCCCCTCATACCACCTATCAACCTAACTCACGAATTCTGCATGACCAGAATTCTTCTGGCATCGGAAACCAGCAAACAGGGCCCCTACAGTACATCGCAGTAGTTGAAGTACGATAAGACAATGGACTGCACTTTCTAGAGATTCTCATTAAGTACGCCTCGTTGGTCAAATATTAGTTTGAGGTTGGCAAAAGCCCTCTTGTTGACACAGTTATTGATGGACCGAGAATCCTAGATCCGCATCCATGAGGTCCCAGATTTTTTGCTGACCCACATGCTTCTAAAACCTGGTTGCCAAGACTTAAAAAAAGATTCCAGTTTTGTGCGTCAGTCTGTCTGTCGTTGGCTATCATTATTTGATCAGGCTTGAATAAAAGATAAAGCTGTGTGTCGTCAGCATAATAGTGAACAGTCGAGTATCGCAGACATGTGATAAGCTGTGATGTATAGAAAGAGAAAAATAACGGCCCAAGGATAGAACCCTGAAGCACAGCACCTGTCATTCCCACAGGCCTCGAAAGCCTGCCAGTCAGCTTGACCACTGAGGTAGGACCTAATAAGAAGCCTCGAATCATTGTCAAATCCCCTAAATCAGTTGGTGGAAACGGCCATCAGTGAAGGCACTTTCGGAAGAGACAAAACATAGGAGGTTTTCCAGCATTCAGATTGTGTCTCGATAAAAAAATTAACCATATGAACAATCACTGGTAATAGGACATGAGGACAACAACGAAGTAACATTGACAGACCAATGCCGCCACAACCCATGGCCATTGACTTTATGGAAGATAAGGCTATCTGGTCCTTCGAGCCGGATATTTGTTGAAAAACATCAGCATTTCCACCTTACACGACGATTAAAACATCCATTTCACCAGAGTGTTGCTTTGGCCGTTGGAATTTGATCCTTATTGAAATCGTCTTTGACAAGCTGAAGCAGAAACTTTGGTGAGAGGTTCCTAGTTAGGAATTTCGGATTTGTGAGGTCAGTGCGTTCCTTTTTATTTCCTTTTTTCAGTATATTGAAGCTTTTATTTGATTTTTATTTAATTTAAAATAATCTTCTTTTCTTGTTAAACATTTTTCACGGGTTTTCAACTTTATTACGAGTTTCTTTTGCTGATTTGAGTGATTTGACTACTGATTTCTGCTTTACGTATATTCTTGCGTCATTTTGTTACATAACACGCTCTTTTGGGTGTAAATTTACACTTGAACTTCATAAATTTTTGAAATATACTTTTAGACCCTGAGATAGGGCCTGTTTAGTGGAGTCATTTTTTTTGTCTGGCATTTTGAGGGATGAATGTGACTAGTTGGCTGATATGAGAATATAAGTGGTTTTAAGGCCTGCCTCCTGTTCGAAATGTCCACAGAATGTTTCGCCAGAAAACTCAATTTCGAACTGTGACTGACTATGTTTATTCCACAAGTTCTATCCGGATACTAAGTGGATTGGATTTATAATGAAGATTAATAATCCTGAAATAAACACCCAGGATTAAACAGTTTATCCGGATCGGATATTTAATCCGATCCTCTAAATTTGTAGGATTGGACTTAAAATGGATTATCTCAAATGTGAAATAAACACTCCAAATCTCGGATTTAAGAAGTTTGTTGCTAACTTCAAGAAACAAAGACCTGAACCCATAGAGAAATATAATAAACCAACGTAAGAGTACCTGATTGATAACATGAAAGTTTGTATAGCGCTGACGTCACAGCGACGGTGGCGTCAATAGTGGCAGCCGGAACAAATACTGAAATGGCGGGAATTTTGAAATTTGACTTGAGTTGATTGCACAAAAAACTTACTTATGTTGTTCCACATCTTTTTTTCTCAAATCCGAATGAGAAAAATGATGTGGTACTCCATAAAGTTTTGTGCCATTTTTTGATGTAGATTTAAAAAAAAGGCAAAATAAACACTAAATTGTACTAGAAAAAATATACTTATATTATAGCTAGATAGGTCAAATACCTAAAGAGTTTACAAACACAGTTATTACATCCCTTATACGTGCCTTAATGTATGTACAAGCTAAGCTGTCCAAGGCCTAACATCTACATTTTATCTCTTCTGACTGAGGTCTCCTAAAACAGTAAAAAAATATGCCGTATATCACAAAACTAACATGTATACTTACTGGTTCAGTTTATCCTAGTTGTACATAATATTATAGGTACGCGATACCGAGTGCCTTAATAAAAATGACAATTTCTTTTTTTTGTTCTTTAGATTTTGTGAGTTCGAGTCTTCTTAGACGACCGCCCAATCGGTTAAAAATGACAAACACATGACAAATTTTAACACGGAAATGTCGTTATTTTAAGGTTTCTACAAAACAGCTAGGAAAGATCTGTAACTCATACTGTGTCCTTGTCTTGTGAATTGGTATGACAGAGAAAGATGAAACAGAATCGAATGATCGGAATGATCTTTCGTAAGTCTCTAGCTTTCCAAAAATTCCGCAATGCGCTATGCGCAACCGGATGCGCAGTAATAGTATAACCTATTTCGGCTATACTTTTGAAGGTCTTTTTATTTTTTATTGTCTATGCCTGAACCTAATAGAAAGTGTATCAGCTGATTGCCTTTAATGAAGTTAGACACAAAGCAATTTGGGCTTGCGCTTTTGACAAGGCTTAAGAAAGGATTAGCACTAATCTTAATCCATTTGATAGTCGTGAAATAAACGAATATGGATTATTAATCCTTAATCCACCTAATATCCGGATACAACGCATGAAATAAACGTAGTCATTAGTGATTACCGTCTGGCGATTTCTCAGCATTATTTTCACAACAACCTCTCATTCTCTCGATTGCCAGACAAAAAGTACACGCGGAAGGTTCTTTTCTTTCTCTTGGAAGTTGACACCCATCCCCATATTTCAGCTATTGAAAAGCATCTGTTATTTTCCATGGGTGAATTATTTATCAATGTCAATCTTTTAGTTAAAAGCTAGAAAATTTGAGATCATTAAAATAAAATTCTTCATGTAAAACAATTTTTTTCTTCTGCATATTTTCGAACAGGAGGCTGGCATTAAAATCACCCATATTCTCATCAGCTTAGTAGCCTCTTTCAGCCCTCAAAATGCCAGAAAAAAAAATGACTCCACTAAACAGCCCCTATCTCACAGTCTATTTATACTTACATACTTTTACTTTAAATAGACGCAAATATTTTGTACTACACTATTTTTTAGAAATTTTCTTTAGACATTTGCCAATCTCACACCTTTTGTACTATTTTTGGCACTTGATTCACAAATTTACACAAACATATTTCTCGCAAGATCGAGCAGTCTTTGGAAGGACCAGCATCGCTAACCAAGACTCTTGGATTATAATGAAGATATTCATCATACTGAGCGCGTAAGTAGTGCAATTGATTGTATTCATGTCCAATATTGATGATATTATTGATCAATTAAGTAACTTAAATTTGCGAATAGATAATTTATCACCTTCAACTGACTCTGCTTCTCAATCTGAAGAAGTAATTAGAATAATTAATCAAGCTTTAAATAATACAGAAAATAGTGCTGAAGGCAGAGTAGAATCGATAATTGACAATAATCAACAAAACTCTGTGACCAGTAATATATCAATAATTGCTACTTCATTTAGACCTGAATATTTAAATTGTGTGCCGACCTTTGACGGCAATCCAAATGACCTAAACAGATATTTGGCAGTTTGTCAGAGTCTTATTGACTCCTTTTACAATGCCAATGAGCCAAACCACTTTCAAAATGTTTATTTGTTGAATTGTATTATAGGAAAATTGACGGGTAACGCTAAACTTGTTCTTGGTACCCAAAATGTTAATAGTTGGAATGAATTAAAACTTATCTTGGGTAGGCATTTTGCCGACCAATGAGATGAGGCTTGTCTTAACAGAGACCTTGCTTTGAAAACATTTTTATCCGGACTCAAAGAGTCATTAGGCACAACGATTCGTTGCATGAGGCCGAAAGATTTGCCTGAAGCCTTACAGTTTATTACGCAAGAAAGTAACACTCAATATTTTCAAAATAAGCCAAAAACACAAAATTTCAATACACCTGCTCAATAAACACACTTTCAAAATAAGGACGCATTCCCATCACAACCAATCTTCGTGAGACCGAACTATAACAAAACTCATCCAAAATTCCCAACCAATTTGCAGGTTTTTGGGAAAAGGCCCCAATAAGTAAATGCCTTTAAATCAGATCCAAACAAACCGTTGCCAAAACCAACGCCAATGAGCACCACTTCGCAGAATACCTTGCCCAAACAATATCAATATCCTAATTCCAACCAACCACGCTATAATTATTTCCAATTGCGCTCTAATCAACCACCAAATTTCACATTCGAGGAACTCCACAACACAGACACTGTGGATGAGCCAAATTCATACTTTGTGTACCAAACGAATGAAACATACACTGAAAACTATGACCCACCTCAATATAATAACTATTACCCACAAACTGATGACGCTCAATCGTCAAACCAAGAATCAGAAAATTTTATAGATCAAAATGACGAGGTCCAATCACC